TATGATATGATACGCATGCTAGTAGACTAGGTATACATATTAGGGCTAGAGTGGCCTGATTTTGTGATGCCTTAGTCTAGGAAAAACTTGCTTCTTTGGGGTGCTCGAGAGCGAGTGAGTAACAAGAGTATGAAAAGAATAGAGTGCTCAGGATTCGAGGTTGGGGAGGATGACTTGGTGAATACCGACGCGGTGTAACTGGCAGTATTGGGCCCGTACTGCCAAGGACACCGGGTCAGTAGGCAGCCAAGTGGGAACCCCTGAGTATCGAAAACTGAGCAGGACTGCGTTATCGAGTGCGATTTTTGCCCGATAGGGTCTCTGATATTCTTTTGTTGTATTTCAGAGACATCATGGTTGGACCACGACACAGACCTGGCACGAGTGGGTGACTGACGAGGAGCTCCGTCAGATGATCCATGAGGAGGTAGCTGCAGCGATCCGGGCCGAGATTCCGGAAATGTTTGGGTCTATCAAGACCACGCTGATGGAGACGTTTGATGAGCGGTATGCCGCGTTGTCTGAGGCTGCCGCTGCTGCAGCTACCGCAGCTGTGGCTGCTGCCAGGCCACAGGGGGTGACTCGTTGCTGTTCCGGGAGTTCAGCAACACGAAGCCACCAGAGTTTGACGGGACTCAGGATCCGATTGCTGCAATGAGGTGGATTGCCGATATTGAGGGATGCTTCTATACTTGTTCATGTCCGGAGCATCTGAGGGTGCGGTTCGCCCTGAACCAGCTCCGCCTGGGAGCGAAGGATTGGTGGAAGTTCGTGACGGCGAACTTCACTCTCGCGGAGGTTTCAGCCTTGACTTGGGAGAGATTTACTACTATGTTCAGAGACGAGTATGTTCCCCCGGTAGAGAGGGAACGGTTGGTTCAGGAGTTCTTGACCCTCAAGCAGGGTAATGATTCGGTTGCAGTGATCACGCGGAAGTTTCATGAGAGGGCGATGTTCTGCCCCGAGCAGGTGTCCACGGAGCAGGCTCGGATGAGCCGGTATTTGGGAGTGCTGAGGAGAGACATCCGGGAGTTCGTATCGAACTCATCATATCAGACTTTTGCTGAGCTTCAGGCGAATGCCAGGAAGCGGGAGATCGAGTTGGAGACCCAGGCCAGGGAGGAGGCCGAGTCTCAGCGGATGGATCGGCGGCCGACGCAGTCGCAGCCGGCAGCCAAGCGGACCAAGTCCGCTGATTTGAGATCCGGAGGACAGAAGAGCCGTACTTGTGGGAAGTGCGGCAAGGGTCATGAGGGGGCGTGTCGATTGGGTGCTTGCTACAAGTGTGGCAAGGAGGGGCACATTGCGAGGGATTGCCCCAAGGGATTTATGGTCTGCTTCCATTGCAACCAGACTGGCCATCGGAAGGCCGAGTGCCCCCAGCTTCGCCAGGGATCTTCGCCTGCTGCCAGGGTTCCTGAGGTTCGGCCAGTGAAGACCGAGGCCCCGAAGGCTCGTGGGAGAGCTTTCCAGTTGACTGCGGAAGAGGTCCGCGCGGCGCCTGATGTAGTGGCCGGTATGTATTCTTTCACGTATTTACATTTATGCTGAGACATTATGCTTATATTCCTATATGCGTAGGTACTTTTCTTGTGAATCATGTGCCTGCTTTGGTATTGTTCGACTCAGGTGCGAGTCGGTCCTTTGTTTCGCTGGCCTTTAGCCAGTACATCGATATCGATCGGGAGACGATGAGTCGTCCCCTGCGAGTTGCTATAGCAAACGAGAGAGCAGTATACGCCACCGAGGTGATTCGAGGATGCGTACTCGAGATTTTTGGGGTCGAGTTTCCTATAGACTTAGTCCCTATAGCTATGGGGATGTTTGCATTATCGTGGGCATGGATTGGTTGAGTAAGTTTGGAGCTGTCATTGACTGCGAGAGACAGCTGGTGATGATTAGAGACCCTAGTGGGGGAGTGCTCACGGTTTATGGCGAAGGGACCCGGTGTGGGTCAGCATTTTGTTCGGCGGCCAGGGCAAGGCAGAGTTTGCAGCAGGGCTGTGATGGATTCATAGCCTATGTGATGGATACTCGTGTGACCGCGGAGAGGCCCAATTCGATTGATGACGTTCCGGTTGTACGCGAGTTTGCGGATGTGTTCCCCGAGGAGTTACCAGGCGTGCCTCCGGAGAGGCAGGTGGAGTTTCGTATCGATTTGGTTCCGGGGCGGCGCCCATCGCCAAGGCGCCTTACCGTCTCGCTCCACCGGAAATGCTGGAATTATCCTCGCAGCTTCAGGAGCTGTTGGGGAAGGGATTCATTCGACCCAGTAGCTCGCCTTGGGGAGCGCCGATTTTGTTCGTCAAAAAGAAGGATGGTTCACATCGGATGTGTATCGATTATCGGGAGTTAAACAAGTTGACGATTAAGAACCGGTACCCGTTACCTAGGATCGACGATCTATTCGATCAGTTGCAGGGGGCATCTTGGTTTTCCAAGATTGACTTGAGGTCGGGATATCATCAGATGAGGGTTCGCGAGGAGGATATCCAAAAGACTGCCTTCAGGACTCGTTATGGGCATTATGAGTTTGTAGTGATGCCTTTTGGGCTCACCAATGCCCCGGCTGCATTCATGGATCTCATGAACAGGGTGTGCCGACCGATGCTGGATCGGTCGGTGATCGTATTCATCGATGATATCTTGGTATATTCGAAGACTAGGGACCAGCATGAGGAGCATTTGCGGGAGATTCTTCGGGTTTTGAGATCGGAGAGGCTGTATGCCAAGTTCTCCAAGTGTGATTTCTGGTTGCGAGAGGTCCAATTCCTCGGGCATCTTGTGAACCAGAAAGGGATATTGGTCGACCCGGCCAAGATTGAGGCGGTGCTGAGGTGGGAGGTGCCGAGATCGCCCACCGAAATCAGGAGTTTTCTGGGTTTGGCTGGATATTACCGCAGATTTATCAAGGATTTCTCCAAGATCGCTGTGCCACTTACTAGGATGACCCGGAAGGGTGTTGCGTTTTCATGGGGACCGGAGCAGCAGTCTTCGTTTGAGACGCTTCGTCAGAAATTGTGCGAGGCTCCAGTGCTTGCACTCCCGGAAGGGATGGAGGACTTTGTGGTATATTGTGATGCCTCTATATCGGGTTTGGGGGCGGTACTTATGCAGAGGGGTCATGTGATAGCGTACGCTTCGAGGCAGTTGAAGCCTCATGAGTCGAGATATCCCACGCACGACCTGGAATTGGGGGCGGTGGTGTTTGCCCTCAAAATCTGGCGACACTACTTGTACGGGGTTCGGTGTACGATTTACACGGACCATAAGAGCTTGAAATACTTGATGGATCAGCCAAATCTGAATATGCGTCAGAGGAGGTGGTTGGATGTGGTGAAGGATTACGATTGTGAGATCCTGTACCACCCGGGCAAGGCTAATGTGGTAGCCGACGCTTTGAGCCGTAGGGCGGATAGCGCCCCGATCCGAGACATTTGTATGAGGTTGACGGTTTTGACCCCGATTCTGGACATTATTCGAGGGGCTCAGATGGAGGCTGCAAAGCCGGAACACCAGAAGAAGGAACGGGTGGTGGGTCAGGTACCAGGATTTGTTACGGATGGTCGGGGGCTTATGACTTTTCAGGGGCGGATTTGGGTGCCGTTTGTGGGCGGTGCGCGCACTACTTTGATGGAGGAGGCACATCGATCGAAATTCTCGATTCATCCTGGTGCTACGAAAATGTATTTGGATCTCAAGAAGGAGTACTGGTGGCCATGTATGAAAAGGGATGTCGCTTGGTTCGTCGAGAGGTGCTTGACTTGTCGGCAGGTCAAGGCCGAACACCAGCGACCGCACGGTAAGCTGCAACCGCTAGAGATTCCCGAATGGAAGTGGGAACAAATCTCTATGGATTTCATTACCAAGTTACCGCGAACGGCGAGAGGAGTCGATGCGATTTGGGTAATTGTGGATCGACTAACAAAGAGCGCTCATTTCCTAGCTATTAGTGAGAGCTCTTCTGCGGAGAAGTTGGCCGAGTTATATGTGAAGGAAGTAGTATCTCGGCACGGGGTGCCAATCTCGATTATTTCGGACCGCGACGTGCGTTTCACTTCCAGGTTCTGGAAGAAATTCCATGAAGAGTTGGGTACTAGGCTGCATTTCAGTACGGCATATCATCCTCAGACAGACGGCCAGAGTGAGCGGACCATTCAGACGCTCGAGGACATGCTTCGGGCATGTGTGTTGGATTTCGGAGGGTGCTGGGATACCTATCTACCTCTAGCAGAGTTCTCGTATAACAACAGCCATCATTCGAGCATTGGTATGCCGCCCTTTGAGCTGTTGTATGGGCGGAGGTGTCGCACCCCCATCTGTTGGGGTGAGGTGGGACAGCAGGTTATGGGTAGCACGGAGATCGTGCTTCAGACGACCGAGCAAATTCAGATGGTCAGGCAGAGGTTGCTGACCGCTCAGAGCCGGCAGAAAAGTTATGCAGACAGGCGACGGTCCGAGCTTGAGTTCCAGGTTGGTGATCTCGTGCTCCTGAAGGTCTCTCCTTGGAAAGGAGTGATTCGATTCAGGAAGAGGGGCAAGTTGGGGCCCCGGTATATTGGTCCTTTTCGTGTGATTGCAAGGGTGGGACGGGTAGCCTACCGTTTAGACTTGCCAGCAGAGTTGGGACAGATTCACGACACTTTCCATGTGTCGCAGCTGCGGAAATGTATAGCCGACGAATCAGCGGTGGTTCCGTTAGGAGATATTCAGGTGGATGCAAGTCTGAATTATGCAGAAAGACCTGTAGCCATCAAAGATCGGAAGACCAAGGTTTTGAGAAACAAGGAGGTGCCCCTGGTATTGGTTCAGTGGCAGCATCGGAAGGGATCAGAGATGACTTGGGAGCCGGAGCGGGAGATGCGGGAGCAGCATCCGGAGCTTTTTGACTAAGCGGGACTTCGAGGGCGAAGTCTTATTCTAGTGGGGGAGATTTGTAACAGCCCGGATCCCCAGGTATCTCCATTTCCTTATATTTTTGGCATTCTGTGAGGGGACTCGGCGAGTTGGTGGTTGAACTCGTCGAGTCGGGTCGCGGTTTTTAGCGGGGGTTCGCGTCCGGACTCGGCGAGTCCAAGGGATGGACTCGACGAGTCCGTGCTGTTTAATGAAACCCTAATTCCCCGGCCCTAAGCTCTATTTAAAGGACCTTATGGCCCTCATATGCGGCCACCTTGAACCCTAAGAGCCTCCATACGTCTGTAAGCCCTTGTGTGTGTGTTTGAAGGCCTCTTGTTCTTCATTTTGTGTGTTAGTGCAAGGAAAGGAGGGAGAGGAGCAAGCTTGAAGTGTTGGGGAGCTTAGATCTGTTGCCATTTCATCAAGGGGGTCTTCTTGAGGTAACTTTCTGAGCCAATCTTCGTGTTTTGTGTTGATGGGCCAAATCTAGGGTTTCTTCTTGCCTTTCTTGGCTTGAATAAGAAGTATGAGAGGTCCCATGGAGACATGGAACCTAGATCTGGACTTTAGCAGGTCCAGGAGACCCCTTATGACAAGCTTTATGCCCATCCATTTGAGTTAGAAGCTATACTTGCCATATTGAAGGTTGTTTCTTCAAAATAAGCCTTGTATGCATTGCATGGCAACCAAGACTGAGACTTTACGTGACAAATAAGCTTGGGAAGGCCAGATCTATGTATTTATGGAACGGATCTGACCGCAAGAGCCAGTTTTAGCTGGTGCATGGCATGGACTCGCCGAGTCTGAAGAACAGACTCGACGAGTCACTTGAAGATTGTCCTTGAGACCATCTTGTGTGTAGACTGGACCGAGTTGTGAGCGACTCAGTGAGTCGCAGAGAGTTGGAAAGGTTTTGACAGGTGGACCGAGTCAGGATGGGACTCGCCGAGTTGGCCTTAGACTCGGCGAGTTGAGTCGCGGTGACCCTGCGATTCAGGCCCAGGTGGAACTCGTCGAGTCAGGGGAGTACTCGACGAGTCAAAGGGAAAATTCTTGAGAGTTGGTAAAAACGCGTAGACTCGCCGAGTCACTATTGTGCACTCGCCGAGTCTAGTCCAAATTAACTAAAGACTGCTGACCGGGTCAACCGGTGTTGACTTGAGTTGAATGGTCCACCTTAGTGGTACAAGTAATATTTATAGATTTATATATATATCGTAGGAGGATTTCAGCTCGAGGGTTCGAGCCCGAGTGATTCCAGGATTTACGGGTAGCAGCTTAGCAAGGCATACGAGGTGAGTCTTCTCACTATACTGTACCCGGAAGGGTTTTGACTATGTGACCGGAAGGTCGATTATGATACGGAATATATGCTTTATGTGTGTTAAGTTATTTGCTATATGTGACATGTATGATATGTTTGATATGGGCCGGAAGGCGTGGTCATATGGACTGTGAAGGTTGATGTGGGTAGGACCGGAAGGTTTACCCAGTCGGGACGGAAGTCCCCTGAAATACATGGACCGGAAGGTCAAGGCCTGGAAAGGCGTATGTGCGTATGTTGTATTTTGGGAACTCACTAAGCTTTATGCTTACAGTTGTTGCTTATGTGTTTCAGGTGCGAGTGAGGACCGTGGGAAGGCGCCAGCGTGATCGTACACACACTCGGGGAAAACTATTTATCTTTTGTTATGTAATCGTTGGAGACTACAACGTTATTTTGGAAATCTAAATTAATTGCTCATGTCTTAATGGTTGTAAAAATGAAAATTTTTGGTTGGAAATTTTATGACGTTACACGATGCATGTGGAAATGAGGTAGAGCGACGACTAGACCTGGACATGCTTGACGAGAAGCGTCAAGGTTCTCGACTACGACAAGCAGCCTACAAAGCCTGTACAAAAAACTTTTACAAAAAACGGGTACGGGTAAAGAAGTTCAAAATAGGAGAATATGTGTTAAGGAAGAATGAAGCGAGCCATTGGGCAAGCTAAGCATGACCTGGGAAGGAACATACAATATAGTGGGTACGCACCGGGATGGAGCATACACACTGGAAGCACAAGATGGGAGACCGATACCTCGAACATGGAATGCACACAACCTGCGCCACTTTTATTTGTAAAACAACTGACAAATGGTTAACCTAAGGAGGGGGTAGTGACGCCCGAAACTCCAGCCTAAGAGCTACATCTTGGTCAAATGTTGACATGAAGACCCTTAAGTTGTCTCCAAAATTTTCCGATTAATAAAGTTTCACAAGATAGTAGACCAATCTTACTAGTCGGCGTATGCACATATGTATATAAGCATAAATACAAACACAATGAACAAAAACAGAGAAAAAAGGTGTGCGAATTTGCCAAATGACAACACAAGCTGATCACCTACATCATTTGAGCAAAACAAATCGCCAACATGCAGCCACAAATATCAATAGGAAATGTCCCCTCTATGAACATGTTGGTTCAAACAAGCAATAAACCTTCCAGGCTCCCGAACCAGACATACTCAAAGGGTTCGAAGGATGATAACCTTCCCTTGACAAATTAACACACATGAGTCAAGGGTGTCTTGCAGTGATGATCTCCGCTCACCTTAAGCGACCACACAAGAGAGGCAATTGGTCACTCAACTAAGGATTATAAGCAAGGCCTACAAAATACTCTTTGGGGAGACACCTCCCTAAAAAAAATAGAGATGCTCATGAAAATGGGCAAACACTAACGATGAAGACCCCACAAAGTTGAATACATTAACATTCTAGAAAGTTCATACAAAAAATGAGAAACAAACAACAAACATAAAAAAACACACAACAAAAATCAACCAAAAATCAACCTTGGCCAGGTTAAGTCAAGGCAGCGCCCTCAACGCCATCGTCTAAAATGATTTCGTCCTCTTCATAGCATAGTTAGTGAAGATCGGTAAGGCCGAGCTCGACCAAATGAAGATAAGACATGAAGTCCATCTTCGAAAAAGCCTTGATGGCAACATGCATTGCATCAATAGACCGTGCCGCAACATCTAGATTGGATGATCCAGGACTGCTGCCGGATGTCCACACTCGTGCCTTCTGCTTCCTCCTCTCTGTACCAGTAGCCATAGACACGACATTCACACGAAAAATCCATACCGCGGACTCACTACTCTCAACAACATGGTCTACCACACGAACCGCCACCTTCTGAAGAATCTAAGCTAAATCAACCTCTAAAACTTTCCTCCTCGAGACCTCAGTGGTGAACTGATCCTCTCGCAGTACCAAATGCTCCACCAATGCTTTTTTCTCCGAGACCAAATTATGGACTTGCTAGGATAACAGACTAACCTCCCCATCTAGAGTCGCCAACCGAGATTCTACAATAGTGTTCTCCCTAAAAAGCATAAAGTAGTGTTCATCAAACTTGTGTCGCTCCTCTTCGAGAAGCTAAACCTTCTATGCAAGCTCATCATGCCCTAATTTAACAACATCCAACTCTGCTAAATCAAACCCTATGTAACAAAGATGACCAACAACTGCCACCAAGTAAAGAGCAACCTGAGCAGCGACATACATAAGATCGTTCGCCACGTGAGAATAAGAAAGAGCATCGAGAGCCTCCAGGGTAACCGAAGGAAATGCATGTCGGGACCACACACGGGCGGGAACCTGTCCCGATAAAAGGGAACCGGGGGAAAAGTTTCACCCCAGGAGATACATACCAGGAGCACCCACAGATGAAGGAAACGTTGCTAATGGGGCATCATCTGAAGCTGAGGGCGGGACGGAGTGAGTGCCCAGAACGCCCGGTTATCCCAGCCGCCACAAACCCTCTGCCTCCATTACTTTTAGGTCATCACCGTAAGTAATCTCATTAACAATGGATGAATTAGCGAGCAGAGGATCGATGTTGTGTTTCCGATGTAAACGTTGGCCAATAGTACTGCCACTGATATCCTCCTCAAGAGAAGAATCGATAGAAGCAGATCGACGCCGAGAGACGGATTGAGCGGTAGCCATACTCGATCCCCTGACCGGAGAAGTAGCCCTGACCCCCACCTCGACAGGAGGGACACTGCCCTAAAAAAACAAGGCCAACTTTGGATGGAGCCGACAACATCTCCACTTGAGGGACTTCATGATACTGAAGATCCCCTTCAAAACTCCCCTCATAGTACTTGCTCAGAAGACAAAAGCTTCTAACTACCTGAAATGGCAACAACGCAAAACCCCCCTTCTTTTTTAAAAAAAAAACTCGATATCAAATAAAGAATGGAAAAAAAAGGGGTGGGTGGGGGGGGGGGCAGGGGAGGAAAGTAGCACTTACCATCATTGTCCACATAAAACTGAGGCATCTTTCCACGCGACCGCCAACCAACGCTCATTTCGCATGTTGCCAATACACAGTCCGACCAATCTTCACCGTTAAAAAAAAACCCTCTCAACGCGTGAACCACTGACAAACCAACCCCCAATAGTTGGGGCACCCGATCTGAAGCCATGGGCACACAAGGATAGCTAGCCCCAACCAAATCACTGGTAACCAACAATCAACAATCCTATCAATTCTTCCAAAGCACTTTCTGGTTAACTATAATGGAATGCGTGTTACGGCACTGAGAAAAATTGTGCGCACCCAAATGGATAAACAAATTGAAGAAAGAGTGGAATGCTTGAAGATGGGGAAGCACACCTAACACTTAATACCCTAACTCAAATCCAACTATCTTGTTCACATCGTTTGGGGTCAGGTTGTGATCCTCGAAGAAACCATATTCTCGCATAACCTCATTGAAGAAATCAGAAACAAGAAGATGAAACCCGGCCTCGAAGATCGCTATCGGAATACCCACCTTCCCCGTTGGCAGTTGATAAATTATAGGCCCTTCCAACGAGAAATGAACTCCATGCTCATGCATGAACCCAAACTAGAATTGATGATACTCGAACTCCTCGGATGTAGGAGGGATTCCAGATCTAACAAAGGTCATCAAGAATCAGAGAGGAAGAATGTAGGAGAAGTATGGGAGAATGGAGAAGCGATAAAAGCGGACGAGATGATGGATTATGGAGAGAGGAAGCGTATAATCGTTCCTAAAGATAGAGGGCCCTTAAATATAAAAAAAAAAAAGAGAAAAGAAGAAATGAAATGAAATGACGTTATCTCAACATAACGAATCTATGACTTCAGAAACACGTCATGAACCATTCCCACCAAATGTGTGCCTAGATCTAGGCTAGAACTACTCAGCTACCCTAAGCAAATGCTAAAGTCTAATATTCTAGGAGACTTGTTAACGTATCCCACCGGGAATACATCTAAAATAGTGGAACCATCAGTCGAATAGACGGTTTGGGCAAAGAGCGGCGTATCCCTACCGCTGGGTCCTCACTCTCACCCTCGCTCTCATGATCCCATATACATTCTTTGGTGCACAAGTGCTAAATCCAGTGTCAACACTAAAGAGTACCAATCTCCTCTCATAGTAATAGGTGTAGCGCTCAGAATGTTGTTCCTGGCAACCCTACGCCAATGGAAAACGACTACCCGTAGAGCACGATCTACCAATCAAAGGCCGTCCATCCTTGCCAATCCAACAAAGGTAAAAGATGTTGGTGGGAATCTACCAACCCCCCCCCCCTCTCCCGTGGGACCATAGATATAAAACGGTCCTGTCTCCTCCAATAGAAGGGATCGAAAAATAAATCCTTAAAGACTTGCCTAACACTTTTTCACCTTTTCTCTAAGTGACTAACTGACTAGATCGTTGGAGCTTCGTTTCGGGACTGCCTCCCGGATGAAGACTGATGATTTTGTTTCCTTTGCTATGATTCAAAGGCCCTTCATTTCATCCTTCAAATAAATGGAGTTAAGCTGGTGACATATCACAACACCTGCCTACCCAGGAAATAACCTTAGGAGGACCAATATATCTAGGACCCAACTTGTCCCACTTCATGAATTGAATGACACCTTTCTAAGGTGACACCTTTAGGAGTACCATATCCCGATATTAAACTCCAAATCTTATCAATGCCTATCATCATAACTTTTATGTAAGCTCTGCGCGGTCTAAAGTCTGTGACACACCTGTTGTATCAACTCCGTAGTCTCGAGTACCACTTCCAAACTCCCCATAACTTGCTGACTGATCTCACCCCTAACAAATCAAGGTCCGACACTTCCTCTCATAGAGCATCTCAAAGGGCGGTTGATCAATACTGACATGGTAGCTGTTTTTGTACTTGAACTCAACCAATCGGAGATACGAATCTCAATTACCACCACTGTCCAAAACACATGCCCATATCATATCCTCTAGAGTCTGAATAGTCCGCTCACTCTAAGCATCAGTCTGCGAGTGAAAAGTCATGCTAAAGTACAGAACACATCATGAAATCTCTTCCTTAATCTGGAAGTGAAGAAAACTTCACGATCCGAACCACTAATAATGTAACTCTGTGTTGCACAACCACCTCTCGGATGTGGATGTTTACCAATTTCTCTGTCGAGATGCTCTCGTGGATAGCTATAAACATGCGCACTCTTGGTCAATCAATCCACAATGACCCAAATCGAATCCACCCTTCACGCTTTCTGTGGTAATTTTGTGATGAAATCTATCGTGATCTATTCCCATTTCCAAACAGGAATACCAATGGCTCCATTTTTCGTGAAGTCGTTGATGCTCGACCTTGACTTTCCTATAATTCAAGAACATATCCACATGCTAGGCCACACCCGAGTGAATAGAGAACTTCGACTTGTGTGCCTCCTCCACCATAATATTCCATGAACCAAACAAATATGAAACCCAAACCCTCCGATGTAAGGTCATGTTTTCCCTGAATATCATAACCAAAAGAGGTCACATGAACCACCATGCACTCACTCTTCCAGTGCTCCTCTTTAATAACCTCGACTTGAGCCTCGTGAATCTACTCCAGCAATAGGGTAACCACCATCATTCTTAAACATAGATCTTGATTAGGTGTGCTAGTAACCTTTTGAATCAACACATTGGCCACCACGTTAGTCTTCCAGGGCTGGAATAAAATCTCGCAGTCGTAATCTTTCACTACATTAAACTATCTACGACGCCTCATATTCAAATTTGGGTGATCCATCAAGTATGTCAAACTCTTGTGGTTCGTGTAAATGGTATAACAGAACCCATAGAGGTAATGTCGCCACATCTTGAGGGAAAAAACCTTAACCCTATCTCTAAATCATGTGTTGGATAATTGACCTCATGAGCTTCAACCGCCTTGATGCATAAGTGATCACGCGAACCCTTATATTAGCACTTTAGCCAATCATATGATGGAAGCATTACAATAAACCAAGAATTCATCAGCACCCTCATACAGTGTCAAGATCGGAGCCTCACATAGTCTCTACCTCAGAGGCTCAAATGATGCCCCTACTCAGGCCGCTAACGTAAAGTAACTGACTTCTTCGTCAACCTGGTCAATTGAATTGCGATCCTGTACAAAATTCTCAATGAACCTTCGATAATACCCTACCAATCCAAGGAGACTTCAAATCTCGGATGGAAACCTCAGAACCTCCCACTACATGACAAAATCAATCTTGTCCGGATTGACCAATATAACATTTTGAATGATGAGGTGCCTCAAGAACTGCACCTAGTGCAACCGGAAGTCACACTTGGAGAATTTGACATAAAGCCTCTCTCTCCTCAGAGTCTCCAGAACCTCTCGGAAGTAAACCTCATGCTGCTCCATGGTCTTAGAACATCAATGAAGACGATCGCTGACCGCTCTAGCATCAACCTACAAACCCTAGTCATGAGGTCCATGAACATTGTCAATGCATTGGTGAGCCTAAAATCCATCACCACGGACTTTTAATGACCATAACGAGTTATGAAAGCTATCTTCTGAACACCCACATCCCGAACCCTCATCTGATGGTAGCCTGAACATAAATAAATCTTGGAAATCCAATATGTACCCTGTAATAGGTTGAATAATTAGGTCGAACAATTCAAAAATCCTCGGAAGTGAATAACGATTCTTCACCGTTACTTATTTAACTCTAGGTAGTCGATGTACATCCTGTGGGAACCATCCTTCTTCTTCAAAAATTGTATCAATGCTCCCCAGGGTGAGCTACTTGGCCTGATAAACCCCTTTTCGAATAGCTCCTGCAGCTGTGTAGACAATTCTTGCATCTCAGGTGGAGCTAACTGAAAAGGTACCTTGGATATCGGAGCCACACCTGGAACCAGATCAATACAAAACTCAACCTCCATCTCCAGAGGAACTGTAAGAAAGTCCTCCGGGAACACATCTGGATACTCTCGAACGATCAACACATCATCAACCTTCCTATTTCCATCCTCTCTGGTATCCAATACGTAGGCCACGAAACCCAGACATCCCTGCTGAAGATACCTCCTAAATCTTGTGGCTAAATAGAGAGCATGTCGACGTTGAGCACCTCACCATGAATAACTAGTTCTTCCCTACTTGGGGTTCGAACATGTAACGTCCCAAAAATTATAAGGTAAAGTTTTCATTTTTAATTAAACCATAAACACCATTTATCCTTTTCAATCATTCAAAAGTAAATATTAGAGTAAAAATAGTTATCAGAGTATAATGCCAAAATCATAAAGTTGCAGAAAGCATAACTATAAATAGTGGGCACAAAGCTTAGTGAGTTCCCCAAAATACCACATATTATATATATCAATGGGCCTAGCCCTTACATTGGGCCTAACCCACAATAATGGGCCTAGCCATTCCTAACCAATGGCTCCAACCCAATATACAATACAAGGGTCACAAAGACAGCTGGCATCCTACATAATATACATTAGTCCTAGACCTTCCTAATTTATGGGCCTAACCCAAGATATAATTGGGCCTAACCTATTTTACAATGGCCCTAGCCCAACATACCATAACTGAGTCACAGAAACAACTAACATATAACAGATCCTAGTGGGCCGACATTGGTGCCTTCGACCCATGGGTACAGTGAGGAGACTCACCTTAATCCGAGATAACCAAAACACACACACTTCTATTATTGAGTTCCTCACACTAAACACAACCAAATTATCCCTACTCAAAACTTAAGATAATTCACCGTAATCCAAGGTCCAATTCATATTCTATCATTCCAATGGGTAAAACACCTTTTTACCCTTCCCATATCTGACCGAACAACTAATGGCCTGTGACATCCCCAAAATCACGGCCAGAAAAGACCGATTTTGTTTATGCTTTATAAAAATCAGAGTACTTCATTTTATAAAAAGGTTGCGGAATTTGTTCCCAGAAAAACACGATAAATACGTTATTAAAACATTTTCGAAGAAACATATTTTTATTAATCTTAAAACGTTTGGGATGTCATTGTTAATACAGAAACATAAGCATAAACAGAACTTACAATTATTTACACTAGTGATCTACATCTCTTTAAATCTCTTAGTGTAATGTCACTTCATATCGCCACCTATGATGTAAATAAACTGAGTGGGTCAGGTTGGGAAACCTGGTGAGTACATAGGGTTTTCAACCCACAATAATATAATTGTTATGTTCAATCATCAAACAATTAACCCAATTACCCATCCCCGTTATCTTCTTTACTCCTAAGAGTCATCTATTCTGCATTCGTTATTCCAAAGTCCCTTACTTCCAGGGTTATAGGACTGGCACTAAATCCATAGCTGCCAATATTCATTCGTAAAGCACTAATTCCATAGCTGCTATATCTTACTTATCGGGTACTAAATTCATAGCTACCAGTGCTCAACAGGTACTAAGTCCATAGCTACCAATTCCTACAGGTACTAAATCCATAGCTACCAGTGTCTAACTAATAGGTACTAAGTCCATAGCTACCAATTCCCAACAGGTACTAAATCCATAGCTACCA